AATAAAATTGTTAATGAATTAGTTTAATAATTTATAAACTAACATATAAACCAACACCTAACCTTTATATCATTAGTACCCTTGCTACGGCATCTCTGGATAACACTTTGAGGTTATGGAATTTGGCGAGTTATCAAAGTTTAGGAATTCTAGATGGCCATAAGGGTTAGTGAAAGAACTCACCTTGTTCAAAGATTTAATTTCATTCCCAATATAAAGCATCTATTTTTTTTCTTTATTTTTATTATAGGCGTTGTAAATTGCATGCGTATGGATAAGCGTCGCTTGGTTACTGGGTCTCGTGATTGTACTATTAGACTGTGGGATATCTCAAAAGTGTCATCACCTTCTAAAGTCAAACAGATATCTGAAATAAAATTTAATCAGGGTGAAAATGGATTACCTTTTATTGGTGACGATTGCTGGCTAGCAACATTAGAAGGACATACGGGGAGTGTCACATGTTTGCATTATGAAAATAGCTGTTTGGTACGGATAATTAAACAACATAAATAACTTAGGTTACAGAATTATTTGATCGAACTAGTATTTAATTCCATTCTTATTACGAATTAAGGTATCGGGTTCATCAGATAAGACTATGAAACAATGGGATATGGAAACAGGACAATGCATTTTAACAATGGACATTTTATGGGCCATGTCCAGTTCAAAAGCTGAACTTAAGCAAGTAGGTTTTTTCTCAGGAGAATACGCACTTGAATATGGAGATTTTGTCGGAGCTCTGCAATTCCGAGATGTTGGTTTGGCAAGCGGGACTGAAGATGGTGTAATTCGAATGTGGGATTGTATCTTATTACTGAATAATAATTGACATCGTTACTTTATTTTATTTTATTTTATTACTATTTTACGATTTCAATCCATAACCACACAATTAATTTCTAACAGTGAGAACAGGTCAGGCTCATCGTGCATTGCTCGGCCATACTGGTTAGAATCTACAAATTCTAGACAATTACTATCTTATGGCGCCTTGTATTAATTACGTTTTTTGTTATATAGGTCCTATAACGTGCCTTCAATTTGATGATTTACATGTCGTAAGTGGAAGTGTTGATAAAAGTATAAAGGTATCTATTGTATATTAAATGATTATATGCTTATAATATGTATAACAGTAATGTTTCATCTATTTATTAAAACTTTCAAGATGTGGGATCTAAGAACAGGATCCGTAATCGATACTTTTTTGTATGATCATAGCGTTGTCAGTTTACAATTTGATCCTCAAAAAATTGTCTGTAGCGCTGGCACTAATGATATAAAGGTTAGGTGTTGGTTTATATGTTAGTTTATAAATTATTAAACTAATTCATTAACAATTTTATT